CTGTATTTAGTATCATGCACTTTTTATTAAAAAGTAACTATAATACAATAATCATGTTTTTTTTTCAAACAAGGTGTATAGCCATTTAATATCATTTTGTTGTCCATAAAAAGTTCAGTGGTTATTGACTTTCCTATTCGGGCTAACCAAATATCTCATCGGTTCCTATTTCCATGGACCTTCTCATGGCTATCTCGAACTTATTGGCTTCCTTTTCATACTTCTTTCTTGCCAATTGTTCTCTTCAATGTTGTTGTGAAAAGCTATTTCTCAGTTTAGGCTCTCTTATATTCATCAGTGGTTTGTAGCTGATTGGGTTCTAATTTGTGATCCTGAAAAGGAAATTGAGAAAGATATTCGTAAATTCGATAATACATATAAATTAGTCTTGTATGCATTTGCATGTTACTAGTCATTATTATGTACATAAACAAAGAAATTGTTTATTTTCTAAGACCGTAAGCCCAAAAATGTCATTGTAGAGCTAAATGTGGCGGATAGTTCAAATATCGGTTAAGACGCGATAAGAAGAATGATGAATATGATGATGTTCTCGTATCCTCCTCCTCTCATAGTTCCTTCATATTCACACCCACTCTCTTTCCCTCCTTATTCAGATATTCCCCACGATGTTCTACGAACCCATCCCTCTATTTCTTTTCTCCTCAATAGCATAAAACCTTCATTCTCTACGCCAAAATAAATTAGAATCGTCAACAATATTCGACATAAGTGTAGATATAGCCTTCAAGTTTTGAAAAAAGTCTTAAAACTTCAAAAAACCCTTTACTAGTTTTCTTTTTGTAAAGCTTCTCATAACATTTTTAATTCAGCAAACGGACCATTAGCGGTGGAGAGATGAAAGGATTAATATATGGAAGGTAAGAACAAGGGTATTGATGTGTGTTTGGCCTAGTTTGTTTTCAAAGTTTATTTCACTTTCTAATTAATATGATTTGCTACTTGTGAAAACCAGTGTTCTAAAAAGCGTTCTACGGGTTCGCTTAAGCGCTAGGCCCCTAAAGACCGTGGCGATTACCGTTTTTGCCGCCTAAAATATTATGAAATTATAACAATAAAATAATATAAATTTTTTTTATTTATAAATCGTAAAATTTTATATATTTGGCTATAAAATGATGAATATAAATACAATATAAAT